ATTTTGAGCCATCGTTGGCCCACTTTGGATGTATATTCGGGATCTTTTGGAGCCTCCTTGGGCCCTCTTGGGCCGTTTGGTGCCCCTTCAACGCGTTACAGAACCAGCCGTACCATGTGCGACCTGATCTGTAGCTGGTTATTTTTCAATGAGAGCGGGAACCAGTTGTGTCCGCACCCTCCTTGCCTCTCCCACCCTTCTTCCTTGCCGTGCACGTTTCTTCTCTTGTTCTTTGCCCTTAGGTCCTCCTTCTCTTGCTCGTTATCCTCCTCTTCTTTTTCCTCCTCATTAAATTTTCCCTCCCACTCCGTCCCCTTCCATGCTCCCCTTTTTGTTCCTCCTTCCTTCCCCCCCCCGCCTCTTCATTCCCGTACCCTCTCAACCCTCCTGTGCCCCTCTTCCTCTTCGTCCTATTACTTTCTTCATCATCCCTTCCTCCTCCTCCTCGTCCCCTTCTCTCCTGTGCTCACTCACATTCCCCACATCGTCCTCCTTGTCCCTGTTCTCCTCCTTCTCCTACTCATCTTCTTCCTCCTCGTCCTGATCCTCTATCGCGAACCCCCCCCGGATCACCCATATCGAATCCACTCGCCCGACCAAGCCGCTCCCCCCCCAGCCCGTTCTGAACTCCTTCACCGCTTCTCCCCTCCCCTCCCCCCTCGTCCGCATCCCAAGCCCCCCCCCTCTACAGCCAAGACGCTGAAAGAAGGACCGTCTTGGGTTCACGAAGCGCTTTGGTTTTCGAGCCGTTCCTTAGACCCAGGCCGGGGAACCTGTTCGTGGCCGAGGCTCGCCGTGGCCAGAAAAACCCCTTCGTTCCATATGTTACGTTCCTCATGGTAGCGCGATGGCTCTAACCCCCACCCCTGGCCATACACCCTTTTCCATCTTCTGTCAGGGGGCGGCGAAGGGTTCCCCGGCTTTCAGCTCTGGAGTCAGGCCTCTGGCGGCCGTTCGGGATGATCCCAGCCCCCCTGGAACTTTGTCGGAGAGGCGCAGCTGCCAGACAGCGCCCCGAGGCAGGAGAACCTCCCGGAGCCGAGGAAAGCTCCTGAAAACGTTCAGCCGAAAACGCCGCCCCCCCCCCCCCCCCGAAGGCCCTCCAAGAAGAGCTCCGCGAACAAAATCCCCAAGGACCCACGAAAGCGTCCGAAAGCCCTTCGCCCATGCCCCCGATGGCGACGCGGAGGTCGACGGTCAGCCCAGGGTTCCCCACGCATCCCCCTGGGGGGCAACATTCAGGGGAGATGGGCTCAGGAGGGAATGCGTCGCGCCCATCGATCGCCAATAGGGGCCCGATGGGCCTACTGCGCCCAGGATCGCGCGGTTCTGCCACTGGGGGCCTATCGCCGATCCATCGGCGATGTGTCGCCGATTCCAGGTCGATGCTTCTCTTGAGCTGGTCCTCCCCTGCCCGTTCCCCCTCAGCACACCCCGCCGCCCGAGGACAGTGTCAGCACAGCGCCCTTTCGCCTACGACCCGGCCGAAGGGGCCGTCGAGGACCGGCCGGCCGTCATCGCCGCCGTTTGCTTGCTGCTGCTGCTGTTGCCTCACCACGAAGAGGCAGGAGGAGGAAAAGAAGGATCAGAAAGGGAAGAGGAGGAAGAGGAGGAGGACGAGGAGGAGGAGGAGGAGGGCGAGGAGGAGGACGAGGAAGAGGACGAGGACGAGGAAGAGGACGAGAATGATGATGATGGTGATGATGATGATGATGATGATGATGATGATGATGCTGATGCTGATGCTGATGCTGATGATGATGATGATGAGATGATGATAAGATGATATGATGATGATATGATGAGATGAGATGAGATGTTGATGATCTTGATGTTATGATGATGATGATGAATGATGATGAATGATTTGATGATGATGATGATGATGGATGATGATCTGATGATGATGATGATGAGGAGGAGGAGGAGGAGGAGGAGGAGGAGGAGGGAAGGGAGAAGGTGGAGGAGGATGAAGAGGATGAGGAGGACGAATGAAGAATAACGATGACGAATGACGATGACGATACGTGGACGATAAGGAAGGATGAGGAGCGGAGGGTAGGAGGAGGAGGATGGCGGAGCGAGAGGGAGGAGGAGCGAAGCAGAGGAGGAGGAGAAGGAGGAGAGGGAGGAGATGAGAGGAGGAGGAGGAGGGGGAAGGACTCGGGGAGGGGAGGGGAGGAGGAGAGGAGGAGGAGGAAGGGAAGCGAGGAGGAGTGCAGGAAGAGGGGGAGGAAAGAGAGTGGGGGGAGGAAACTGTGGAGGGGAGAGAGAGGTGGAGGAGAGTAGGAGAGTAGAGGAGAGAGGTGGAGGAGGAGGGGGAGGAGGAGGAGGAGGAGGGGGAGGGGGAGGGGGAGGAGGAGGGGGATGGGGAGGAGGAGGGGGAGGAGGAAGAGGGAGGGGGAAGAGAATCCAGAATAAACCCACGATGCACCAACGTTGCTGCAGTACACCCTACAGTCCCAGAAGGCTCCGCAGGAGTCCCTACAAGCTCTCTTTCCCACCTCAAGAAGCGCCACCTGGAAAGACCGGCACCTGGCGGGTCTGCTGTTCAGGCGACACCCCCGTTTTGAAAAAGAGCTGCTTCGCATGTCTCCTCCTCCTCCTCTTCCTCTTCCTGTTCCTCCTCCTCCTCTTCGTGCTCCTCCGCCTCCGCCTCCGCCTCCTCCTCTTCCTTCTCCGCCTGCTCCGCCTCCTCTTCCTCCTCCTCCTCCTCTTCCTGCTCCTCCTCCTCCTCCTCTTCGTTCGCCTCCTCCTCCTCCTCCTCCTCCTCCTCCTCCGCCTGCTCCTCCTCCTCCTCTGCGCGTGGCGAGCCGAAGCCCAGGTCACCCGCGGGGGCGACCTAGGAGGCCGACCATAAAGGGGAGACCCATGCCAAGAAACACCCTGCTTGCCTCCACGGTGCCATGGGTTTCTTGGGTTTCGATGGTTTCGCGATGGGAGGCGCGTCTTTCCCACATCAAAAATCTATGGACGTCCTGGGTTCTCAGGGTTGGGTTTCTTGTGGAAGGTTTCTTGTGGACTGGCCTCCATTGCAAGAGCGCGCAAAAGGTATCATCATGCAGTTCAGCGAGGTGTCTACCGAGGCCCCCATCTCGGAAAAGACCGTCCCGCCGGTGCATCTCCAGCACGAGCTCCCACTTCTGGTCACGAGCGCAGAGGAAGTCTCGATCGAGCGCCCCGTTCTGAAAAGTAGCAGCCGCACAGTACAGTCAGACCGCATAGTAAAGATGAGCGACTTTCCAAGGTCACCCTTGCATCCTTCCTCTTCGGCCCATCCTGGGCCGCTTTCGCTGGCCGCGCCTCGCTCGCACAGGGTCGGCATGGCCCTCCAAGGCCTCAGCATCCTTATCGTGCGTATCGTACGTCCTGATGATACGGGTCGACTGCATTCGAAAAGGAACCGCCCACCTTGTCACGGTTGCAAGCTTTCTTGGAACGAGTGTGCACGGCGCCAAGGTGAGAGCCTTCATCTGAAGAGAAGTTGTTTTCCATAATTAAAGTGCTTGCGAGCTCGTAAGACGAATGTGCGCGACGCCAAACCGGGAGCTCCATTTTGAAGCCTTGCCGCCCTCGGTCCTTGAAGCTGCTGCAAACTTTTTAGACGGATGTACGCGGCGCTGAGGCGAATTTCCCATTTTTGAAGAGGAGCCCATCCATCCTTAAAGTTGCCACCCTTTGTAAAGACGAGGCGCGAAAGCGAGAGCCTCATTGTGAAAAGGAGCCGCCTCCATCATTGAATTGCTGCAAATTTCTAAGGCTAATGTACGCGGCGCCATGGCGAGCGGTTCCCCCATCCGTCTTTGAAGCTGCTTCGAATTTCATGCTTCGGACCCCAAGTGGCAAGCAAGTATTAGGCGAAACGCCTGGCCAGCCCTACCGACATGTCGTGTCTGGGGGTGCGACAGGAAGGAGGTATTTCAAATTGTAATGAAAAGGAAGGGAGGAGCAGGAGGAGGAGGAGGAGGAGGGAAAAGGGAGGAGGGAGGCGGGAGGAGGGAGGAGGGGAGAGAGGAGGAGGAGCAGGAGCAGCAGCGTCAGGAGGACTGTTTTCGTCTTCTGCTCCATCTCCTCGTTTCTCCTCCCACTCCTCTTTTTTGCCTATTAGTGGCGTGCGGTTTCGGCTCCTCTTCCTTCTCGCCCGTGGGGGTGGGAGGAGGAGGATGAGGAGGAGGAGGGAGAGGAGGAGAAGGAGGAGGAGGGAGAGGAGGAGACGGAGTGAGGAAGCCATCCTCCTTATCCCTCCCCCCTCCGCTGTATCATGCGTCTTCCTTCTCGTCCTCCCTCGTCCTCCTCCTCCTGCTCCCTTTTCCTCATTTTCCTCGTTCCCCTGTCACCTCTGTGGCTGAGGCCCGAGGGCCTCGGCATCGATGGCAAGTCCTCGTTCTGCGCCTCCTCCTCGTCCTCCCCCTGCGCCTCCTCCTGCTCCTCCTCCTCCTGCTCCCTCCTTCCTTCTCCTTCTCCGCATCACCATCATCATCCCATTATTACTCCTCCGCCCCATCCTCCTCCTCCTTCTCATCCCCATCCGTGTCCTCCGCCGCCTCCTCCTTCTCCGCCTTAAAAAACCGCGGGGAAACAAATGTGACGTTCTTCCTCCTCCTTCGCCTCCTCCTTCTCCCCTTATCCTCTCCCTCCTCCTTCTCTTCCTCCTCCTTTTCCTCATCCTGTACATCTCCCCCTCTTGTGCTATTCCCCCCCGTCATCCTAGATCCCCTCCTCCTAATAACACTTGTGGTGTTATTCCTCCTCCTCCTCCTCCTCCTCGTCCTCATCCTCCTCCTCCTTGTCCTTCTCCTCCTTCTCCTCCTCATCTTGTTTTACGTCAAGCGAGCCTTAGGGACAATTTGTGGCGCTCCTCCTCCTCCTCCTCCTCCTCCTCCTCCTCCTCCTCCTCTGTAGCCGTTTTGGCTCAATCTGCTTTGTTCCACAGGGGAACAGGTGGATACCGCTAGTCCGCGGCCAGTGCCAGGGTTGTCCAGCCCGACAGTTATGATGAGGAGTGGTCCGCCCCACCCCCCGCGCACCTGTGCTGCACGCTCAGGGGGAAAGGTTCCTTGTCGTTCTGCCAGGGGTGTGACAACTGGGCGTACAACTTCCGCATCAAGCGCAACAGCGGCGTGTGCGCCTAGTGCCAGGCTCAAGTCGAGTTGTATGAACCGAGGAGGACCGCAGCGAACCTTTCTTGGCGCAGCGGCGGGCAGAGGCGCATGGCATCGCCGCAGCATGAGGTGTTCCCCTCGTCGCTGCTCGACCAGCTCGCCCGCCCCCCCCCCCATGTTTGCCACCGAGGCGCGCTCGCTCCTGGCGGCCAAGGAGCGATACGAGGCAGCCAAGGCCGTGCGGCAGCAGTCCCCCCCATGTGTGTTACAACGAGACGGCCCGCGACCTCGAGAAGAAGAATGCGGCGCTCAAGGCGGCCGCGGCGGCGGTCGTCGCGGCGGAGACGGCATTGCAGAGCGCCAACGAGAGGGCGGCCCAGGCAGCCCGCGAACAGCTACAGGCGAAGCAAGCTCACGATGCGGCAGTCCAGCGGGTGGCCGCCCAGGCCAACATCAAATCAGCCCCCGACGGGTGCACTGCGGACGGCAAGAGGGTGGTCTTCGCAGTGGACGGCGGCATGTTCGCGGACATTGGCTCTTTCGACGAGGAGCAGCAGAAGGAGCTCACCGAGCTCCAGCGTAAGATCCAGGAGAAGTGCGACCAGGTTTCGAAGTTGCAAGCGGAGGTCCACGCCCACTACGGGAAGGCGCGGGCGGCCCGCTCGAACCCGCCGAAGCGCCAGCGCCTCGACGAAGGAGGAGGTTCCCAGGCGTCCGACCAGCACAAAGAGGAGCCTCCCGCCGCCCCACCTGCCCCGCCAGTTTCTGCGGGCCACGCGGCTTCCGAGTCGGACGCTGAGGAGGCCTTGCGCGCCGCCATTGCTACTGCCAGAGCCGAGGCGGTCGCGATGGCGAAGGGCGGGGGCGGCAAGGGTGGCCCCAGCTCTGGTGCGGCTGGCCCTCCTGCTGGTGCATCTCCTGGGTAGCATTGCCCCCCCGCCGCCTGCCGGCGGCCTCCCTTCGAGTACGACCACTACATGTTCCACTGCCGCCCTGGGAGCCCATCCCCAGGGACCGAGTTCACTGAGTGGGGCCCTGCGGCCCGTAGCTGTATGAGAGGCCTGGCTGACGAGTATGATGTGATTGCGTTCTGCGAGGCGCGCATGATGGGTAACAAGTTGTGCTCCGCCAAGTCAGATCTTGGCAAGGATGGTTGGAAGCTTATCGCGGCTCCTGCTATTCCGAGTGGCAGCTTCTGGAGGCAGCTCTGGAGGAGAATATATTGTTTCTCGCAAGACTTTATGTACCACGCCATTCGAGGCGTGACGCACCGCTGATCTGTCTCGCACAGGCAAGGATTTCTATCGGGGCTTCGCCCCCGTTTTGTGGCACACTCGCGTGGGCAACAGTGTCGCTGTTTCGTGCTACTTACAGCCTGGGCACAAGCTGAAGGGCCCCA